GTGCGTTACCTTGGTTTCTTGACCATGTCTCATTATAGTGGGACAATGTTAAGCACAAACCGGTACCCCTTGATTTCAAAATTTCACGTCGGTAGCAGACATTGTAGCCTCTTACAACAATGCAAGCTTGGCATCATATTCTGCGCATTGGTTGAGTCAGTTTTTTGTCTTTTTAATTTTAATTAACTGTTGTGGCAGTCCATTCCACTCTTCAATCAAAGCTTGTCCCAGTCGTTGTACAATGTTACTGTCGTTTTGGGAACTTCCTCTTAGGCCCAGTCTGTTCAAGCGTAATTATTGGAAAGATGGCAAACGTTGGTCATTATTAGACCGCCTTGTTCGATGTCCGAATGTGTTTTAAAGCCGAAGTTGTATCTTTCTATTGCTGATATCTCTTCCAGTGTGCTGGTCGTAGTTAGAAAGGGATTTCAAAGATACCAGAGCCGTATCTTCTTGGGCCGTATCGACCTGTGGCCTGACTGGTCTGGGTCTGTTACCCCAGTAACTTGGAACCAATCGTTCAGGATATTGATGAAAGGATGCGTGCAATGAAGCATCCGCCTCACTCTACGGGCCCATATTACAGCTTGCAGTATTCAAATTGCCCAACAGCGCTCCTCGGGGCTTAATCTAGGCATCTTGTACGTGTACAGCAATTGAAGACGACAAAAACCAACTGGAATGTATATGTAACTTGTTTTTTCGGTTCTAAAGTCGATGATGTGTTGATCTAAACACAGTTTAGAAGATTTCATAATTTCGGTAGAGCTTAAGTCTCAAAATGTGTTAATTTGCATATGGGTCACATGACCACGTTGTTAAATTTGTGTTCTAGAAAAAGATCAACGCGGAGTCATCGTTGGGTTCATGGTGACTGATGTGCAACATTTCGCTCACCAACAAGGACGCAGTTACAAAAAAAACAAAAACAAAGTGGAAAGCTTCTGTTGCCGCTGGGTATATATATTTATATATATAAATATATATATATATATATATATACGTTTTCGTGCACCTCTATAATAATATGATGTTTACAAGCGATGTAGGTTTTCTTTAATCAATGTCAACAGACGACATCGTGTGTTGATTGCATTACCCAACCTCGCGGTTTTACTTTTGGATGGACATTCTATCTCTTTGTAATGTGTACAATCTTGCGGGGTTTTTTTTTTTGGGTGGACATTCCATTACTAAGCACACATCTATGTGTAGACTATTAGACTACTGTAGTTTAGTATATTACCCATAAATGTTTGTCTATCAGTAGTTATCACATCACCAATAATGTTCACTTATGCATAGTCAGCAAGTATGCACGGTTTTGTTTACAGAAGTGACTGCTATTGAATGCGTTTGATCAGTGGAGCTGGCCAGACCCTGTGTCACTGTTTGTGACTGAGCCTATTGTTTGTAGATTATAAATCATTCTTTACAATATTATGTTGCACACACATAATGTATACATGTACCTTTATTATGTGTTCCTATGCTTTGTCCCCTTCAAGTGTTCTGAGAATCTGTATAATTGAAGGAAATGTGATGGTTTAAGAAGGTCGCCCGTTTGATCTCATTGTATTGCATACATGTAATTGTAACTGTGTTATGCACCTCCATTGATACAATTATTATTTAACTAGTTCACATAGGGGGAGGGTTGATTGCCTGTAGGACCAATTCAGGTTGAAAAGGATGCAACGTCCCAGCAGACAGGCGGAAGTTCTCTATCAATTAACTTCTTCCACACAGGAATCGAACTAACGCCTTCTGTGTGTGACTGCCAAAAGAACTTTACTGTTACACCACAAATGTTCACTCGAGCAGCAAAAATTACAGATCTTCTAAGAAGAGACACACTTAGATCACCCGTGTACAAAAGAAATGAGGCTTGGGATATACTTTGGAGTGAAAACACGAGCACATTATGTTGCTTTACATTTTGCTGCCGTACTTTATTTATATCATCTACTGTTACCTCTGACAGTCAATGGTGGTGGGGGAAGATAAAGTGACAAAGATAAATAGATATTTAGAAAGAAGGAACGAGAAAAATATTTATATAAAAAATAATAGGCTACGTATATATAGAGAGATAAAAAGAAAGAAAGATGGACAGAACAAAAGAAGGTAAAATGCTAAGGAAGACAGATAGGAAGATGAATTAACATATTTAAGATAGGTGGGTAGGTAGAGAGTATGCCAGACTGGAGCTTTACAAGTAGTAGACGACAACAACACTTCGCTTGAGGTACAAAAATTCCCTCAGAATTCAAAGGGTCGGAATCTATTTCACACCTTTATTCAGTTAATCAATCACTCTTTAATATTTGTGAAGACCCACAGGTCTCACAACATTTCTGTCATTTGTTGAGCAAAATGTTAAAAAAACAAAAAAACATTATGATCAGAATCACAACGGGCTGATTTAACATTTCCAAATGCAACAAGCTGAACAAATGCAAGACCGAACCTTCCAAGATGACCATTGTTGAGTACAAAAGTGTCATCTTAGACAAGTAGTCCTCTTGGACAGTGTCAGTAATTATATAGCAGAAAAAAAGAAAAAAACCAAAAAACCAAAACAAACCTTCAAACAAACAAAACAAAACAAAAATGCAAGAGGGAACTGGGAAAATGGTCGTTTGTACGACTGATTGTCTTGAAAAGACATCTCAGTGGGATAATTAAACTGCTCCTAATAAAATCAAAAGTCTAGTCTAAGTATGCTTCATTTGTTCGTAAAGATAATTTTGTACTTTGTGCCAGTATCATGTAATCATCATCATGTTAGACTCTAGGCCTATATTATAATTGTAAGCTTTCACAACTTCAGTTATTCCTTGACCTACTCAATAACACTTTCAATCTTTACAAACATCGTTGATTGTCGAAATAAAAGAGACAGCATCATGTTAAAAAAAGTGCCACTTGTAGATTACATTCTCCTCGATAGATAAAAAAAATCTCTACCAGAGAAACAACCGTTCTTTTGCATTTTGATTTGCTGCATTTAATTAATTTAATGAATAGGCCTATGTGACAATATATCACAGAGTAGTAGGCCTACAGTGTTACTTCAGATCTACTAGATTCCTCTCTCATGGGCTCAGTTGAGATGAAATCGTTCGAGCTGGAACTCGGGAGAGTACAGGTATTAATCTAATTTAAGACGACAAATAAAGGGAAACTCGAATTGTCATGGTTACGAAGCAAAAAATATGTACCAACATCTGATAGGCCAAAGAGACAAAATTGTGGAAAATGAAAACTGCAGTTACTTTCAAACTTGGATACATCATGGGTATTCGGGACTCAAGTCTGACTGAGACAATTTGTCTAACCGCTCCAACTCAGGATGAAATATGTTACATCACTGAATATTTGTGCAGTGTAAAGCTTAAATGTATGATAGAAAAAGACTTTATAAACATACACACTTACAAAAAATCAAAATGTGTACCATATAAATGCATGGTCAAAAAGTCAATAAATAGTAGGCCTTCATTGATATTATATTTTGGATCTCCTTTTTTTGTTCCAATTCTCTCTCTCTCTCTCTCTTTCTCTCTCTCTCTCTCTCTCTCTCTCTCTGTGTCTCTGTCTCTGTCTCTCTGTCTCTCTGTCTGTCTCTCTCTCTCTCTCTCTCTCTCTCTCTCTGTTCCATCATTAACCCATAAGTTACTCTCACAGAATCACATAGGCACCTGCTTTTTGTTCAGTTATTCTTCATAATTTCCCAAAATTGTTAGTAATTTCTGCTGCAGGACTTGTTCCCTCATTCAATTTGCTCTCTTGCTCTTACCGTCTTAGAATAAACAACAGGTACTGATCCACCCTTGCTTCAAAGCAATGGATATATTTACTAAGAGGATAGGGCAATATCTTTCTCACAGAATAAGTTACTCCCAATATAGTTTTGGGTTTTAAGTTACTTCCAGCATGACATTCTAAGTTACATCGGAGGAGGCCAAGTAACAAGGCGGCTTGGCAGGTATATATAACATTCACCATAGTGTGACAGTGAGTATAAAACGATGCGAGACAATAATCAACCATGTAAATCTCACAATGCTTTTTTCCCTCTTCACAAACTGATCGTATCACCGGACAAGGCAGATCAAATGGTCCTGATTAGAAACATTGTTTATGGAATTTAAAAATCACTTTGTGCGTCTAACAACCATGTCACACACACACACACACACACACACACACACACACACACACACACACACAC